TCTACAACTTTCTTGGTGCCTTTACCTGCTTCTACCTGTTCTGAGATTTCAATTATGTGCATGTTATTCCTCTTGATAGTGTCCCACATTATTCTTAAGTTTTCTTCTTCCTTTTTTTATTCTGCTTTTTGTTCTAGCAGATCAGAGATGACAATTCTATCTTCTGTGTTCCATCTCTTCAACTCTGTTCATATGTCCCTCCAACACACTGATAACATCTGAATCATTGGTCCTCATATTCTGGATTGTGGTTTCTTATTTTTTCAGAGCCTCTAATGCCTCATTTCTTTTATCTGCATTGTCTTGGATTTTTTTCTTTTTAGGTTCGTCCTGACTTTTGCTTGCAGTCATGTAATTCTTCAAGTTTGTGTTTTACACATTGAAAATATTAATTTTTTAAAATTCTTTTTCAGAAAGTTCTATTAGACTTTCTGGCTTCAGGAAATCCATTGATACTGTGTCACTTTTGCATGTGCCATCTTGTTTTGGGTTTGTGCAGCATGTGAGGTAATTTGTTTCTTCTGTGACAGTGCTGTGATAGAGCTTTTCATGCCTGACCTTTAGGAGGCTCTTGATCTGGAAAACCTTGGCTCAGGAATTCACTGCTTCAGAGGATTGGCAGGGCAGCTATCCTGTCTGAAGTTTTCTTTTGAGCTTTTGACTCAAGGAAAGACTTGCTTCTGTTGGGGAGAGATATGGCCTGTGAGTTAGCAGTTTACTCTGTCAGGCAGCTGCTGTAACAAGGCTAGGTGTGTTCAAGGTGCCCAGGGGTAAATACAGCTCAAACTCTGTGAGAGGAGAGGAAATGGGTTCAATTATGATATTGTTGTCCCTGGTGCAGTTCAGAGAGCAGCACTGGGTCATTCTCCAGATGGTGGGGTGTTCAGGCAGCAGGGATAGGTCCACTAGGTGGTGAGGCTGGGCTTCCAGGCAGTTTGCAGGAGTGTCCTGGCAGTGGGGCTGCAGGGGTAGGTCCTCAAGATGATGGGGCCAGGACATCCAGTTGACTTGTGGGAGTGTCCATACAGTGGGGTCAGGTCCTTCAGGCTCTGGGTTCAGGAGTTCAAGTGGTGGGGCCAGGACCACCAGGCAGAGGGGTTGAGGTCTCCAGGCAGTGGAGCTTGGGGCCTCCAGGCAGTGGGGCCTCAGTCTAGTGCTCCTGGTAGGAGAGCACTCCAGGCCACACTAAGAACTTTTAAATACAGGTACCTAGTTAACCAACTGGAACAGATCCATGGCTGCTTACAATGCACTTGGCCCTTCTGCCCATTTTATAACTGTGTTATCATTCTTTTTCTTGTCGAGACCGTGTAGGATTCTGTAAACTTTGGCTGTGAGATCCTTTTCTGAAATGGTATTGTCAAATGTTTTTCCCCCCAGTCAGTAGGTTTTATTTTCTCTTTGTTGAAAAGTGTTTTTGATGCATACACACACAGTGATTTAAGCTTTAGAAGGTCCCATTCATCAATTTTATCCTCTCTAGACTGTGCATTTCTGGCTGTATTTGGCAGACTAAGCTATCTAGGCCTGATCCCAGTTTCTCTCTGATGAACTTTATGTTTTTGGGTTTTACTCCCAGAGCTCTGATCCACTTTGAGTTGATTTTTGTGTATGTTGTGAGATGTGGACCCTGTTTCAGGTTACTTCAGGTAGCAGTCCAGTTTTGCCAGTGCCATTTGTTGAAGAGGTTGTCATTTCTCCGTTTGACAGCTTTTATTTCCTTGTCGAGTATCAGTTAACCAAAGATAGATAGGTCCTTTACTGGGTTCTCAATTCTGCTCCATTGGTCTATGTGCCTGTTATTGTACTAGTATCATGCTATTTTATTACTGCCATGTAGTAGGTTTTGAGGTCAGGAAATGATATATCTTCCACTTCATTTTTGTTCTTCAGAAGTGCTTTGCTTATTTTAGGTCTCTTTCCTCTCCAAATAAACATGGCAATTTCTCTATCTCCTTGAAAAGGTAATTCGGTATCTGTACTCGGGATTGTGTTGAACATGTAGGATTTTGGTAGGATTGTCATTTTCATAATATCGGGTCTTCCTACCCATGCACAGGAAACATTTTTCCATTTATTTAGGCTTTTATTGTGTCTTGTAGAAATGTTCTGTAATTTTCTTTATAGAGGTCATTTGTGTCTCTAGTTAGGTTCACTCCCAAATATCTTGATTTGTGGTTGGCTATTGTAAATGGTATTGCTTTCTTGGTTTTCTTCTCTGAGTCTTCTTTGTTACTGTAGAGGAATCCTGCTGATTTTTGGTTATTGATCTAATATCCTGCCACTCTACTCAATTGGTCTACTAGCTCTAATAGTTTTTTTGTTGTGTCCTTGAAATTTTCTGTGTCCACTATCATATCATCTGCATATAGCAACAATTTAACCATCTCTTTGCTGATCTGGATGCCTTTTATTTCCATCCCTTGTTGTATTGCCTTAGCAAGTACTTCCAGTACAGTGGTGACATTGGGCATCCTTGCCTGGTCCCTGTTTGCAAGGAAAATGCTCTTAGTTTTTCTCCATTGAGAATGATATTGGCTTTTGGTTTTGCATCTATTTTATTCACTATGCTGAGGAAATTACCTTCTAATCCAATTTTGTTGAGTGTCTTTATCAGGAAGAGGTGTTGGATTTTGTCAAATGCCTTTTCTGCATCAGTTGCTAAGATCATATGGTTTTTCTTAATTGTTTTGTTAATGTGGTGAATTACATTGCTTTTCTTATATTGATCCATCCTTGCATACCTGTTATGAATCCCACTTGGTCATGATAAATTTTTTTAATGTGATTTTGGATTCTATTGGCTAGGATTTTGTTAAGGATTTTTGCATCTATATTAATGAGAGATATTGGTCTGTAATGGTTCTTGGTAATATTTTTGTCTGGTTTTGGTATTAGGGTTATGCTTGCTTCACAGAATGACTCTGGGAGTGTTCTTTCTTTTTCTATTTTTCAAAATACTTTTAGTAGAATTGATGATAGATCTCTGAATTTTTTGTAGAATTCAGCTGAGATGCCATCTTGTTCAGGACTTTTCTTATGGGGTATTCTTTTTATGACCTGTTCAATTTCTTCTTTTGTAATGGGTCTGCTCAAGTGTTCTACATCTGTCCAGGTCAATCTGGGTAGGGCATGAGTATCAAGGAATTTGTCCACTTCCTCTAGGTTTTTAAAATTCATCTGAGCATAGCTTTTCATAATATTCAGAAATTATAATTTTTTTCCTGATCTTGTTGTGATGTCACTTCTATAATTTCTTAATTGAGTTATCTCTGTCTTCTCTTTTTTTTTTTTGATTGAGAAATTATGGTACATTCACATGCTGGAATACTACACAGCATATAGGAGCAATGATTTAGAAAATTTCTCCCTAAGTTGGGAGGGTCTGGAGAACATTATGCTAAGTTAATTAACTCAGTTCCATAAGGACAAATACTGTATATGACAATTATTGTACAAATAGAAAGATAACTAGTAAGACATATATGAGGACTCAAGGAGTGGAGGGAAGAAGCAGTGGGGTGAAGATGGGCAGGGAGGTAATCATGGGTCACACAATTTGAAGGATAGAGGTAAAAGAGGTGGGTAAAAGAAATGTGAAATATCTGGTGTGAAAAACAATGTATACGAACTTCATAACTAAATCAGTATAAAATAAAGATTTTATTTAAAAAACAAAACCAGAAGAGGTCATGGCACAAAGGATATCACTGCTGATCTGATGGATTTTGAATGAAAGTAGAGAATATCAGAAAGATGTTTACTTGGGTTTTTTTTTTACTTGTTTTTCTTGATTATGCAAAACATTTGATTGTGTGTATCGTAACAAATTGTGGCTAATATTGAGAAGAATGAGAATTCAGGACCATTTAATGTGCTCATGTCACACACACACACACACACACACACACACACACACACCTCAATAAAAAGACAGAGAACATTAAAAAAATGACCAAATAAAAAGATAGAGAATATTAAAAAATAAACAAATCAAATAATGGAGTTAAAGAATAAAATAAATGAAATGAAGAATACCATGGAGGGATTCAATGATAGATTTGGCCTTGCCAAAGAAAGAATTAGTGAAGCAGTGGATGAGGTGGCTGTTGTTTATGCCACTGACTACAAACAAAGATCAAAACCTTGCCCTGTCCTGTGTTATCCTTATAATCTCTGCCATACATGAACTCATTGTTTTGGTTTAAAGTAGACATCTCATTTGATATAGTAATTCCACTCATATCCAAAGGCAATCTAAGCTTAGATATGAGCGGATGTATGTACACCTATGTTTACTGCTGTATTATGCACAATAGCATGGACAGGTGGAAGCAGCCCAAGAATTAATCAACAAATGAATAGATAGAGAAACTGTGGTATACATAGAATATTACAGAATTCATAAAGCAATAGCATGCAGCATTGAAAAACAATGAAGAACTTGTGAACACTACACATCATGGATGAGTCTAGAAGATACTATGCTGAGTGAAACGACTCAGCCATAAAAGGACAAATATTGTATAAGACCACTGTTATAAAGACAGGATGGTGATGGGGGCGGTGGGAAACAGAGTAGAGCAGGAGAAAAATTGGAAAAAACATTGAAATGAAATGAAAGGAACGATCGAACTGATATGAATAGATAATCAGACTTTATATGTACTGAAATTAACAATCTGGAACAGGACATGCATAACTGATTAAATGAAGGGGGTTACGGAGGGGGGAAAAGAGAGTCTAAACAAAAGTATATGTACAGATAGAAAGAATTGTGAGGGGTTGATAGGCAGGGATGGTGAGAGAGCAGAGATTAGTGAATCAATAGGTAGAGTGAAGGGAAAATGAGGGTACAAAGAGGTCAAAACCTTAATGTTTGACCTCTCCCTCTCCTTTAAGATTTTGTAAATAACAGTATTATACAATTGAAATTAATGTTATAAAGTAAAAAGTATATGCGTGATCAAATAAATAATAATAATAATAAAAATAAATACCTCTCTGATATTTTGAGTGATGTTAATTCCATCAATAAGCAGAACTCCAGAGGTGATGGGCTCCTCACCGGCCAACATTTTTAAGATGGGAGTTTTTCCAGATCCATTTAATCCAAGTAATCCAAAGCATTCATACTTTCTGACTACTAAGGAAATATTTCTCACAGCCTTTACAGCTGGACACTTAAAGTAAATCTGAGAGGAAAAACCGAACCAAACCTTAAAATACTTAATCACCACAGATCCTATGGTTCACTGTCTCTATTTCACAGCTCTAGCTCTAAATCTACATACATCTACATATATCTCCTTTTATGCTATAAACCAAAAAAGGAGGCTTCGTGGTGCTGGGCTTAACTTGGTTGGCTGCTAACAGAATAATTGCATGTTGAGATGCTGTCAGTGCCTGAATTCACTAGGTACCCAGTGGGAGAAAGATGGTCAATTCTCCTGTAAATTATTTACATCTTGTAAACCCAGTGACAGGCCAATATGAGTCAGAATTGACTTAGTGGGCAGTGAGTTTGTTTTTGGTTTATATGATATAAAACTGCAAGGAACTAGTAAAGCCATCTATAAGGTCTGGTTGAGGAAGGCGGGATGTTCAAAGCAATGTTGTTTTTATGTGCATTGAGTCACTTGCAACGAATAGCCACCCTATGTAAAATAGCCCTGAAACCTGCTTGATCCTGAGTCAACCTTATTGTCTCTGACACACCGACCCTCATTACTCTAGTCACTGAATCAATCCATCTTACCAATGGTCTTCCTCCCTTCTGCTGTCCCTCCACCCTTCCATGCATGATGTCCCTCTCCAAGACTGGTCTCTCTTTGCAACATACCCAAAGCAATGTTAGTCAGTGAAAAACTTTACCTTAGTAAGGTCCTTAAGGATTACTGGAATATTCTGCAGTGTGTCAGATAGTGCCAGAACTTTGTTTCTTTCCTTTTTTACACTTTCATCCTCAGATTTTTCAATTTTGTGGCTGGCCACAAGAGTCTGCATTTTAAAACAAAAATCACATGTGTGTGTGTGTGTACAGTCCTTAGACATTACATTTCTACTTTAAGCTGAAGGGCTTCAAGACAATTGACATGAAAGGGTAATCCTAAATTATGTGAGACAAAGTTTGAGTCATGTCCAAGAGACTTTCAAACAATTGTCCCAACTCCCATGCACAAAGCTAGTCTTTTCCTTTTCAGTCTTTATTCATTCATGCTAATAATGAAATGAAAATAATTTCAAAACCATTGTTTGCAAATTGTTGCTGTGAGGTGCCACTGAATCATAAAATGACTCATAGTGACCCTCTGAACAACACATCTGAATCCTGTCCTATCTTGTGTCCTATCACTGCTTCATTCACTGTGTCAATCCATCTTGTTGAGGGTCTACTTCTCTTTCACTGATCATTTAACTCCACCTTTCTAAGCATCATTTACTTTCCCAAGGAATAGCTTCTCCTGGCAACATGCCCAAGGTATGTGAGATGAAGCTTTGACATCTTTTCCTCTAATGAGCACTCTGGCCACACTTTCTCCAAAACATATCTGTCTGTTGGCAGTCTAAATTCTCTACTCTTCTCCAACACTACAATTCAAAGGCATCAATTCTTTTTCTGCCTTCCTTACTCACTGTTCAGCTCTTAGAAGCTATTACACAAATACATTCCTGACTTGCTTAGTTTTCAAACCAGTCACAAACAACTTCTGCAACTATGCTGTTCTTGTTGCTATGTGCTGTTGAGTCACCTGCGACAGCAGCTCTGAAGCCTGCCCTGTCCTAAGCCAATCTTACTGACTCGGATGCACCTAACCCCAGTGGCCCAGTTACTGTATAAATCCATCTCATCTGGAGTCTTCCTCTCCTGTGATGTCTCTCCACCCCTCCAACCATGATGTCCTCTTTTTTTCAAGGACCAGTCCCTCCTGACCATGCACCCAAAGTATGTGAGGTGGAGTTTGAAAATCCTAGCCTTCCTCAGCACTCAAGAATTGACTGAGGACCTCCAAGGTTCCCCAGGCTGGGAATCCTGGGTCCTTGGTCCCCTCTGTGCATAATAACCAGGGACTCCAATGGACCTTCTGGGCAGCTTTCTCAGGGTGCTGCTCCTTCCATCCAATCAGCCGTCTTCTCTGGATGCCATGGCAGTACCGTACAATCTAGCAACCAACCAGTGCTAAAGAGATTTTAGAAACTTGTACAATATAATTTTTAGGAGCTTCTATGGCAGCTTCCTTTTTACCTTCTTTTCAATTGGGGCATGATGTTCTTACTTTCCTTTTGAAGTACAAGCTGTGAATCTAAAAGGCACTTTTTAAAAAAGTATAAAGAAAAAAATAGATGTAATAAATAAAATCATGGAAGGCTTTATGTGATAAAAAATTTAATGTTATAGTAAAAAAGTAATTGGTGGTCTGTTCCACAATCAGCCCCTGGCCTAGTTTTCACAGCTGATATTGAGCTTCTCCAGC